GGGAGGGAGGGAGGGAGGGAGGGAGGGACTAGTCAAACCATCCAGATCACATGACAAAGGGGTGGGATTACACACAGGCACAAGAGTCAGAGGTGCCCTCACTAGACACCAAAGCCACATTCAGGTAGCAGTTTCAAGGTCACCTGAATGGTGTTCACACCCATCATCTGCATGGCAACTGCTGCTATAGCTAAGACACACACGTCCTAGTTCCCAAGCAGAGGACAGTTACAGTGCTGCTGTCCCAAGATACCCTCTGACAGTACCCTACAGCAGGCGATGCTGTAAGTCAATGAAGCCCTCATAAAATGTGACCCCAACACAAAGTCTCTAATGCATCCCATACAGCATGCTGCAACACACTCTGATGGTCACCCCTGGCTCCCCGTTCCTCACAGAGGATCCACAGTGGGATGTAGGCTGGTTTCAACCTACTCAGAGGAGAAGAAAAGCATTTTGAACAACCCATATCCTTGCCTTGAAGTCATATTTATTCATTTCTTCTAAATAAACATTGTAAAACATCTTTCTTTTCCCACATCAACTGAAAGCAAAGGTTTTTTCAAAGGCTAGGAAGCCCAAGCGGTGAGCTGATGTGCAGAGTCACTGAGCCAAGTACCCAGTGCATTGTACCTGATGATAATCCCATGAGGCATGAGTTTACGTTATGTTTAGTCAAGACGCCTCTGAGATGCTTCAGGAAGACAATGCACGGAGTCCTGGTAGTTCACATTTAGAGCCTACAAAGTGGACTCTTGAGTACTCCACTCTCATTTGAACAGAGAGACATGCACCTTAGGAAGGAAGCAGAAACACAGGCTGGCCAAGGGGACTCACATCCAAGACTCTTATCTTGTGCTTACTGCGGGACATATTCCCATAGTCGTAATGACAGAAACTTCCTTATTGGACATATAACAGTACCGTTTTGCTTTCATAAACTGTGGCTCCTTTTACTCACATACTGAAACAAAGACATGATGTGATACCACACAGATTTTTCTCCCCATTTGCTAACATTTATGGAGCCCATTATGGGTAAGGCAGAGGGCACTAGGTAGGACCCCAGGGATAAGAAAGGAAACAAGGACACACCCTACACTCCTTGGTACCTAGGAAAGACTCCTGGCATAATGGTCACCACACATAGAGGTGTCACTCATTCTCTGATGTCATTTGGGTAGTGACTCACAAATCTGAGAGTATAGCCGAGACAGCTTAGGTCTCACCAAAACTTTTTTCTTTCTTTTTCGTTTCCTTTGGGTGGAGGGTGTGAGAAATAATTGCATCAACATGGCTCAAAGACTTTAATTTGATACAGAATGATTTCATACATGGCCTGGGGACGCAGGGTATCTCAGTTACTTTGCCTTTGCTGTGACAAAATGCCCTGACCAAAGCTACTTAAGAGAGGAAGGTTTGTTTTGGCTCACAGTCCCAGAGGGACTGGATCCGTCCAGTGGACTGACAATCTGAACGAGCCTCGACAGCAATGATGTCCGGAGGGCAGATGCAAAGCCTTCATCCACCACCAACTATTTCTAAATCTTTGTATCTATAAAAGTAGAACAGGGGGTGGGGGGAGCAGAATTTAAAAACACTAACTTCATCTAGCCTACAGAGGAACCAGCCATTCCTACAAAGGACAGACAACAACCTGGTCAGCAAAACGGCCCGGGAAACTGGAGAAGGGGCGTGACAAGCTCACAAACACACATAGAAGGTTAACACTGACCCAAACAAATCAATGTCCCTCACTTTGAGCTTAGATCTGAGGTCCTCTCATGAAACACTCAGGCACCACGAGTGAGACTAAGACACACAAGCACACCAGATACTGTGTAAGAAGCAGTCTTCACAGGAAAATCTCCTATACAGATAGTTACTCAACTCTGTGATAGCCATCCCCCATTAGTTTCCCACACTGGTTCTTCCTCAGCATATGTTTTCCTTTATAAAAATTTGACTTTGTAAAAGATAGCCATGCACAGAAGTTTCAATTTTCCTAGCTAAATAGTGAGCTCAAACTCTCTCTAAGGCTAGGGTAGGTTAGAGCAGTTGCGCTCAGACTTGTGCATTAGAACCCACCAGCATGGCATTAGAATCCAGTACTGGACCCAACCAAAGTGACTCGGCTGGTCTGCAGCGGGGGCCCCAGCACTGCTGCCATGTATCTCCATGCATGGCGGTGGGTGCTGCAGCTAGATGAAAGCCTATTCTTACTGAAGCACCAAGGAAGAAAACAGATAAGAAGGAAGTTTGCCAAAACAGAACCACTATTCGCCTCACTCAGCACTCCCCGCAGATTCTGGCAAAGCCTGTTCTGATGCACATTTACCTTTCCTATGGCCCTGTGGCGCACAGATGTTAGAGGTCATAATTCCTGCTTGGTCCACATCCACTGGTGATGTGAATATGGTCCATCTGCTCATCATTCATGCATTTGTAATGACACAATGAGCAGCAACCAAAGTAAGAGTCAGGACTTTGAAAATAACCTGTACTTGCCCTCTCAAAACTTCCCCTACCTACCTCCACTTCAAAACACATTGCAACCAGTCAAGCCTCTTGCTTGTCTTGTGGCTTTATTAAATCTACAAACATGACCATTCAGTAGAACACTGAATGACAAATGAACTCTACTGACAAGCAATAATATGGGTGAATTGTAGTCATAACACTATGAAGGGTAAGAAGTGGAGATCAATTCCAAATAAAAACGATTTGTTAACATTAGAAATACATGTTCTTCCGAATACCTTAAAATAGACATACATTTAGATCTTTTAACTTCTTGTAATCACTGAAGAAATACATGTTGGGAGTTGGGGGGTGTAGCTCAGTGGGCAGAATATTCACTATTCACTTAGCATGCATAAAGTCCAGGGTTTCATCCCTAGCACTAAGTAAAACCAGGCATAGGGCTTATGGTTGTAATCACAGCAGTGGGAAAGTAGGGCAAAAGGATCAGAAGTTCAAGGTCATTCTCTGGTGCGGCGGGCGGGGGGGGGGCGGGGGGGGGGGGAGGGGGGGAGGGAGGGAGGGAGACACATGTACTGAACAGGATCCTGTGAATTTTGACAGGAAGTGGGGACTTCATTCTCCAGTGTCCTTCCTCTTCCACCGTGCAGCTGCAGCCTTCAGTTTCCACAAAACAACCCCCAAATCAAGAGCTTTTATATGCACAGGCAGTTGACACAAGAGGGAACCAAGAAGTAAACAAACTCAGGGGGTCTGGGGGTGTTAGTGCGCTCCTCATAATCAGACAGCAATGACAGCATATGGGGAGGCTATCCTTTCATGACTAAGTTAGAAAAATGAGAAAGAAAAAAGCAAAACCCAGAACAGCTGCGACTGTGACTGAGCTGTCAGGGTAGAACTATCAGGCACAGCAGTGAAACCAAACAAAAAGATTGAGTCAGCTGTGTGGGGACATTCGGTCATGACCCGTGTAGGCTTCTCATTCTAAAGAACTCATCCTAAAGAGGGAATTTGATGGGGGAAGGGAACTCACATGACCCCCAACAACACAACTTGGGAAACCATAGCAATGCAGGAGGCATAATGCAACCGAGGATGAGCCCAGGAGAACCGTACAGGCATCATTTAACATGTGAAGGATATCAAAATCAAAATGGTAGGCACACGCTTCATCAGGACTGTGTAACACCCAGGATGAAGACAAGTACACAAATCACTGCGGTTGCTGTTTGGAGGAGGAAGTGTGTGCTGCCCCTGCTGGGTTGTATTGCTTTGTTGTTGTTGTTTGTTTTGTTTTTCTTGGTGGAGGAGAGCAGCACTTACCTAGAGAACTCTCGCAGCTCTCCTCGTCACTGTTGTCTTGACAGTTATTCTGCCCATCGCAGATGAAGCTCTTGTCAATGCACAGGCCATTCCTGCAGTGGTAGCGGGCTGTGGAGCAGAGCAGGGGGTTCGCTGCTGTGGGGAGAGAACAGAGTGGGTAAAAAGGGAGCCCAGCATATCCCCTTGAGGACCCAGGAGCCTTTTATAGTCAGAGAAACAGCATGGTCAGACTGTAGGGTTAGAGTCATAGCTCTCCGAACCCAGAGCCTGGCCAGTCCATAGACTTCACTTGTGGAGTCTAGAAGGGATGGATGGTGACAGAAGACACAGGAGAACACCAGACCCAGAAACAGCAGCTGGGCTGGAGACCTTCTGCCTCCAAGGAGGGGACCAGCTGATGAGACACATGAGTAACGAATCTTCTCTCTCCTTTAGTTTTTAAAAAATAGTGTATATACGTTGCATGCATGAGTACATATGTGTGTGTTTGTCTTTATTGTGTATGTGTGCTTCCATGTATGTGCATGTGGGGGTTGTGGCATGTGGGTAGAATCAACATCAGGTGTCTACTAGTTACTTTCCACCTTACATCTGAAGCACGGTCTCTCATTGGAACTGAAGCTTATCAGCCCCTCTGATGCCTTCTCTATAGAGCAGAGACCCTCATTCTTCCAGGCCCTCTAGCCTTCCAGTGGTCCTCATTTCTCCCTTGCCACCAAGCAGACCCTGAATTTATGCAGGGACTCTCTTGAGCAGCATCTTCATGGGGCAGCTGTTCACAGCCCTTTGAGGGAACTTAAAGGAACTGGGGTCTGTCCTTCAGGAAAGAGATGCCAACTGCACAGTACTGCATAGGCAGACACAGAACTGGTGAAGAGCATGGAGCAATCCCCCCAAGGACATGGCATTTACACAGTATAGTCTGTCTTGCTCTCCATCACATCCTGTTTCCAATCAGTGAAGTGGCTGAGTGGAAGTGTCCTCTAGTTACTGCATATAGTGGCTCACAACTCCAATCCTAGTACTCCGGTGGAAGAGGCAGGTGGATCTCTGAGAGTTCAAGCCAAGCAGGTCCATAGTGAGACCTTACCTAAAAATAGTCACCAATCCTAACCCTGACACTTCGTCACTGTGTAAACTTCAGCACGCCCTGTCACCTCTCCAAGCCTTGGCCACTTTCTCTGTAGCCAGGATCAACTCCATAATCTTATGAGACCCAGTGAGAACTAAACATGGTCAAATGCTCTACTATTAAAAACACACGGGACAAGAGCAGAACATAAAATCAGGTGTGGTGTGCTTCTAGGCTAAACACCAGTGCTATATGATTATAGCAGGCACATCCCATGATATCAATTCTCCTGATTACAGCATTAACCTCCGTATCAGGAAAGGAAATGTCCATGCTGAGTCTGACATGATGCAGAGACTGCCCGGATTAAAGGTGTGAGCCACCACACACAGCAGCTCGAGGCATTTCTACATAGCCACTTCACTAAAAACAGGGCCTGTCTTGTCCTCACTTCCCTGCAAAGGATTGGGTAATGAGGCAGACTTCCATACAAGTACGGATCTTCTGTGAGATTGTTCATGTCTGGTTCACTAGCTGTGTCATCTCCTAGCTATGCCTGTCCTGGTCCCCAGAACATGTGTCCAAGAGATGGAAGAACAGTAGTGATGATGAAATGGGCTGTCATGGACCTCCAGTAAGGAACTGTGCCAGCACCTACATTGCATATGGCAAGAGTGTACCTGAGTGGACATTAGGCCTAGCCCAGAGGCTCTGCATGGTAAAAGCCAAGTCAGACCCAGTGTCTCTCCATGGTCTCGGACTGTACAGTGTGAGCTGGAATCTGTCTGCTCCATTCCTCCCTGAGCTCTGTTGACATACTTGGACATTATGGTTCTGAGGTCTTGGTCAATTTCTAGCTATACAAACCTGAAGATGACAGATCGGTTTTCTCCTTTTCATTCAAGGTGGAAAGTTTAATTTGAAAGGTCAGAGGAACTAACAAGATTTAACAAGCTAGAGCTGAGTTTTAAAGATAAGGGACCACCAGTCATCTGGCCTGATAAAGGAAGGGTTAATTTAAATCACCGTGGGGTAGAGAATGGCTCAGTGTAATCAAACTGGAACCATGGTCTGGCCGCAGCCAAAACCCAAGTGGGAAATCCAAAACCACAAATCACATTTGATTTTTGTCCATGGCAACGCTTCAAACCCAGCTTTCTGCTCATCAGCATCCAGCACAGGGGCCTTCAGCGTCCCTGCACCCTAGTGGGTCTGTGTATCCAGAGCATCAGAACCAATCAACTCACTCAACTAGCCTGCAAGGGCAGGGAGTGTCATCTTCTTCACCTTCAGACTCAGAAGCTTTCAAACTGTTCCAAGGAAAATTAGTGTTGTGTGTGACTGTTTACCTGTATGTGCACAGACACACCACAAATCTGCGGATCTCTGTGTGTGTATGCTTGAAAATAAGACACAGGTTGATTTTAATGAATACAACCAACAGGGCCAGAAGCCAGAATATATAAAGAACTAACTTTGACAACCAAAAAGCAAAAGTCATCAAGGCAGAAAAACAGGCAAAGGACACACAAGTGCTCCCCATAAAAAAGGCTGCTAAATAGTCAGTAAACCTCACTGGTGAGATGACATCAGACCTAAGGTCCTAAAGTTGTTGATGCAGATGTGGAGGGAGAGGCTTTCTCCTGGATTCTGAAGGGAAAGCAATCAGTAGGCCCACCTTGGAAACCAGTTTATTAATAAGTAATGTCACCTCCTCCTCAAAAGAGACCTATAAACGAAACCACTACTGGGAAAAAATTAAGCACTGACCCAAATGGTCAAATCAGAGAGAGTTCTAACAATGAAATACTGTACAGCCTGGGTCAGGTTTTCCTGTAAAGAGCCACTTAGCTACATAATAGACATGTTGCTACCCATTTTGATTTTCAACTGTGTTATAATGATTTGCCTTGGCTATTATACTGATACTTCATAAACAAAGGGCACAGCTGTCTTCTAATAAAACTTTATCTACAAATAGTGAGCCATAAAATGCCAACAGCTGTTGTACAGCTGGAAAATAAATAAACTGGCATGAGGGTTCTTCCCTCTGGGTTCTAGGAGCCACAGAAACCTCTAACATTTGAGCCCACCCCACGCGGGGCAGAAAGACAGCGGGAAAGGACACTGAAAAGACTCCCCAAAGCCAGCAGCCAGCTAGCTAAAGCACATGTGGCTACATTCATGCCTAGGAAATGCTGGAAGCCTGAGAAGTGCTCTCAAGCCTCCACCCCTGGTGCCTCCTGTACCTCCGTTATTAATACAGGCCCCAACAAGCCCTGCCTTCCAGCTCCCAAGGCCAGAGCAAAGTGAGCGGGAGCTTGTTTGCCACTCGCTAGAAAAAAATACAAGAGAAGACAGAAAAAATAAAATAAAATTTAAAAGCTACTCCAAGAATTCCAGATGGAGAAAAACAGTTTTAAAACAGACCAGAAAGTTACAGAAGTAGAAAGCAAAGGCAATCCCACTGCATAGCTCAGTTGTTGTATTTTGTTTTGTTTTGTTTTTAAGTGTTCTTTAGAATGAGCCTGGGCTTCTATCAGAAAGGATAAATGGTGGTAAAGCTGAGATGCAGCAGGATCCCTGAGAAAACGCCTGCCAGTGCTGGTACCCACGCCATCAACGTGCAGTCTCTAGGCAGACTCGCTCACCAGGGAAGCCGATCCCCCCCCAAAGCTCCAGGAAACTCAAGTTTCCTTAAGTGTCTTTGAGATCTCTGCAGCCATTACTGTGCTTGGCACAAATACTGAGCGGCTAGTTCACAGATGGAGCAGGAGACAGTGTGTCCTACAGGATCCTATATTGTGGTATCTTTGAGCAATACTTAATGTACCCCAGATGTTTATGCTGTCTTTACCCTCACTAAGGCTACCAGCCATTGAATAGTGTGAAATTTTACTCAGTTAACTACATCGAGGAAAAGTGTGTCCTGTGGTATCTATTTCACTGGAGATGGAAAAAAATTGTTTGTGGCATCAGCTTCACAGCCAGAATTACAGAACTCAGAAGTTCCTTGGGAATAGTCACCATAAAAATGCTGGGGTTCTGATGCTCTGCTTCCTAGTCCACAGTACACAGGAAAGGCAGGTAGTCTCTTCCTGCCAGAGGAAGGGAACAGGTTCAGGGAGGCCGCTAAATAAACTGGCTGCCCCATTTTGGCCACGTTGGACAGAGTGGACCACAGTCATCCAAAAGCAACTGATAGGCTTCAACACAGGAACTGAAACCATCTGTCTCCAGCAGACAGGACCGAGGAAGTGTCCTCTAACTCATTTAAAGCTTCTCCTACTTCAAAACGGTCACATGTAAAACTGACATCACCTCCCACCCTAAGGTGGCTACTACTTATGGCCTCTGTGGGGACCCTTTCCTCCGCAGTTCCAATTTCCTTGTGATGTTTATGGTTGGGCTAAGTAGGGCATGCTAACACTTCCTCATGTCTTAGATGGGGTCTATGGTCTCCAGAAACCAGGGATGTTAAAACATCATCTTGTGGAACATGGTTCCCTCCATCCTCACGCACGGCTCCCTCTGTAGCTTGGAATATGCTCACTGCTTTGCCTGGGGCTTGTCTGCCAATAACTATAAGCTTTTATGTTCCTTTCCATCTGCTAGCAGGGCCTGTCCAGCACTCAGACTATCAGGCTTTGGCTCAGCAGCCCTCATTCCCATGCTCCAAGACAAGAAGACATGGTTATGTACACCTGTATTCTACAACAAGAACCTGTAAGAGGAAGAGCTGTTACTCTGGACAAACAAGCAAGAGGTAAAGAATGTTCCACCTGCCTTCCTCCCACCTCTACCGGTTTGGGGCATTTGGGGTTTTAATGCCCCCTCCCGAGATGTATCGTGGTCACTGGCAGGATTCAGGTATATGATTAAAGACAGTCTGTTTCCTTCTGCTTTGTAAAGGTTTCCCGCACATCAGTGCCTCCCATCCAGTACAAGGCAAGTCCTCGACTTCAGCCTTCACTTTTCTTTGTGGATGGTTCCCTCAACACCCCTTCTGGTAGTAAATATCTTTCTCCCAATGCCTCCTGGAGCCTTTCTCCTTGAATCTTTC